GATCCTCGAGAGGGGTGTGCCGAAATGGGAGCCTCGGTGGAGCTGCCTGTGGGGCCAGGGCCACGATCCGTGAGAGGGATGCGCCGAAATCAAACTTCGGTGGAGCTCCCTGTGGGGCCAGGGCCAAGATCCGTAGATGAGGCTTGCATCCGAAATCCACATTCGAGTGGAGCCTCCCCATGGGGAGGCCACGATCGGGGAGAGGGGTGCTGTTGCGCCGGAAATCAAACTTCGGTGGAGCTCCCTGAGCCACGATCCGTGAGAGGGGTGTGCCGAAATCAAGCCTCGGTGGAGCTCCCTGTGGGGCCAGGGCTACGATCCTCGAGAGGGGTGTGCCGAAATGAAGCCTCGGTGGGGTTCCCTGTGGGGCCAGGGCCAGGATCCGTGAGGAGGGCATTTGCGCCGAAATATCAAGTTTCGGTGGAGCTCCTGTGGCGACCAAGTCCACGATCTCTCCGAGAGGGGTGTGCCGAATGCAAGCCTCGGTGTTTTTTGTTTGAGCCCTGGAGGGCCTAGAGTACGGATCCTCGAGAGGGGTGTGTGCCAAAATGAAAGGCCTCGGGGAGCTCCTGTGAGACAGGGGCCACGTCTCGAGAAGGGTGATACGAAAATGAAGCCATCGGGTGGAGACTCCCTGTGGGGCCAGGGCCACCGATCCGTGAGAGGGAGTCGCGGAAACCAAGCTTCGGGTAGTGGAGCTCCCTGTTGAGCCAGGGCCACGATCCTTGAGAGGGGTGTACCGAAATGAAGCCTCGGTGGAGCTCCCTGTGGGGCCAGGCCCACGATCCTCGAGAGGGGTGTGCCGAAATCAAGCCTCGGTGGAGCTCCCTGTGGGGCCAGGGCCACGATCCGTGAGAGGGGTGCGCCGAAATCAAACTTCGGTGGAGCTCCCTGTGGGGCCAGGGCGAAGATCCTCGAGAGGGGTGTGCCGAAATGGAACCTCCGTGGAGCTCCCTGTGGGGCCAGGGCCACAATCCGTGAGAGGGGTGCGCCGAAACCAAGCTTCGGTGGAGCTCCCTGAGCCACGATCCTCGAGAATGGTGTGCCGAAATCAAAACTCGGTGGAGCTCCCTGTGGGGCCAGGGCCACGATCCGTGAGAGGGGTGCGCCCTTTGGGGCCTGTATGGGGCTCCGCAGCAGTCGGGCCCTGCAGACCCCCGCAGCGGTCTGGCGAGGCCTCGTGGCGTTGCGCGGACCAGGGGCCCTGCAGGGCCCGTGCGTGGCCCCGTGGTGTTCCTCGGGGGGGGGGCGAGCAACGGGACAACAACAACAACAACAACAACAACAACAACAACAACAACAACAACAACAACAACAACAACAACAACAACAAATACAACAACAAACAACAATCATTTACCCGGAAACGTGTGGTGGTGTCTCCCCAGATGCCAGGGTTTTCATACGACACCAGGGCAATACACCCACTTAGTGGGGGGGCATTACAAGATCTACCAAATATCCAAAACGACTCTCTTTCGCGACCACCCAACCCCGCTTACCGCCATAGACGTTGGGACACTTTCACTTTCGTGGCGTGCGGAAGAACCGTGGGCTACTACCCACTGGCGTGGCGCGCGCGTAACCCCGTTGCAAGAGCGTGCGGAAGGTAGCTCGCGCGAGCTCATGCCACCATAAATGTTGGAAAACAATGTTTGTTTTATGGATTCGGACAGCGCGCGCGGGTGGAAATTTGTGAAAGTGTCGTGCAGGTCGTTCTTTCGAGGAACCTACGGTGCGTATTTCGTTTGTTTGGAAAATTTTATTGTTGCGCGGTGCTAAAATTCTTAATGAACCCAATGGTTTTTGGAGATTTCGGCGTGCGCGCGCGAAGAAAAAACGAATGTGTCCCGCATGGTATTATTTGACAGGGATGATGCCCCTGGCAGGTGCGCAACCGTTGTTGCAGAAGTTCGAAAAAGTTGCTCGCAAAAGCCCGTTTGACAGAAATGTTAAAAAAGTGTTGGGTTTCCTACGAATCCGCAAGAGCGCGCGGGATGAGATTTTGACAATTTTTTGTTGGAAAACCATTGGTTTTTTGATGTTTTTATGTTAAAATCGCTGCGAACACTAAGGTTTTGGAAGGATTTCGTCTTGCGCGCGCGAATGTCAACTTTACCTTATTTTTTGCAAGGGATTCTTGAAATTTGATTATATTAGAACAAGAAATGTCATTTTCTATTGTTTTTTGCAAGTGAAAGCGGATTACAACAAAACAACCGGATCCTGTACACACCCTCTTTTCTGAGGCTTCCTCACGAAAATGATGAAAATGTAGCTGCGGCCTAGGCGGCGCAGGGGGGGCGCGCACCAGGGGGCCCAACAATAATTATTCGTTAGAATAAATAATGTTCAACAACAACAACAACAACAACAACAACAACAACAACAACAACAACAACAATCATTTTACCCGAACGCTCAGTGTTCTCCCCAGTGCCAGGGTTTTCATGCGACGCGAGACAATACCCCCACTTCGTGGGGGGGCAGTTCAAGCTCTACCAAACATCCACACGACTCTCGGGAACCACCCACACCCAGCTTCCCGCCCTATGACGTCAGGACACTTCACTTCGTGGCGCGCGGACGATCGTGGATACTACACTGGCGTGGAGTACACACCCGCAGAGGTTGATCACTTGTTTGGGCCCCGAGGGGGGAAGCCTCCTGGCGCCGCTTGGGGTCCTCTTGATGGGCTTTGGGGGGCTTCTTGGAAGCATCTTGGGGCCTCTTGGGGGCTTATTGGATCCTCACGGCGGGCTCTTGGGGCCTCTTGAAGCCCTCCTGGGGCAACCTATGGCGCAACCAGTAGGGGGACGCTTTATTCTCGGCGGCCGAGGGCGCAACCTATGACGCAACCATGGAGGGGCGTTTTATTCTCGGCGGCCGAGGGCGCAACATATGGCGCAACCGCAAGGGATTCTGGCCCCTGGCAGGCGCGCGAACCGTGCGAAAGTAGCTCGCGCGAGCTCATGTAACATAAATGTTGGCAAACCAATGATTTTGTGATAACGGACAGCGCGCGCGGGGGGAAATTTTGAAAAGTCGTGCAGCTGTTTTTCGAGAACCTACGGTGCGATTCGTGTGATTTTATGATGCGCGGTGCTAAAATTCTGAAAAACCCAATGATTTTTGCAGATTTCGGCGTGCGCGCGCGAAGAAAAAACGAATATGTCCCAAATGGTATTTTTTGACAGGGATGATGGCCCTGGCAGGTGCGCAAACGTTGTCGCAGAAGTTCGAAAAAGTTGCTCGCAAAAGACCGTTTAACAGAATTGTTTAAAAAGTGTTGGTTTTCCTAGGAATCCGCAAGAGCGCGCGGAAGAACATTTTGACATTTTTTTCTTAAAAAACCATTGGGTTTTTGATGTTTTTATGTTAAAAACGTTACGAAACCTAAGGTTTTGGAAGGATTTCGTCTTGCGCGCACGAATGTCCACTTTACCTTATTTTTTGCAAGGGATTCTTGCAATTTGATCAAGTAAGAACAAGAATTTTCATTTTATAGTGTTTTTTACAAGGGAAAACGGGGTACAACAAAACAACCGGATCCGGACACAATCGTTTTGCCTGAGACTTCCTCACGAAAATGATGAAAATGTAGCTGCGGCCTAGGCGCGGCGGGGGGGCCGTGCACCAGGGGTCCCAACAATAATTATTCTTAAGAAGAAATAATGTTCAACAACAACAACAACAACAACTACAATCATTTTACCCGAACGCTCAGTGTTCTCACCAGTGCCAGGGTTTTCATGCGACGCGAGACAATACCCCCACTTCGTGGGGGGGCAGTTCAAGCTCTACCAAATATCCAAACGACTCTTCGCGACCACCCAAACCCAGCTTCCCGCCCTATGACGTTGGGACACTTCACTTCGTGGCGTGCGGACGACCGTGGCTACTACACTGGCGTGGGGTACACACCCACAGAACTTGGTCACTTATTCGGGGCGCGCGTGTGCCCAGCATCCTGCAATTGTGACATACAATACATGACACAGACAGACAGAGAGAGAGACAGAGAGCAGACAGAGAGAGAGACAGAGAGAGCGGAGTTGGTCACATTTTTGGGGCAAGTTCCTAAGATCGTCGTGTTTTTTGTTGGTCTTGCGCGCGCGAATGTCCACTTTACTTTTTTTTGCAAGGGATTATTGAAATTTGATTATGTTAGAACAAGAAAAAGTAGCTCGCGCGAGCTCATGTAACATAAATGTTGAAAAACCATTGGTTTTGTGGGAGTCGGACAGCGCGCGCGGGATGAAATTTGGACATTTTTTTTTTGAAAAACCATTGGGTTTTTGATGTTTTTATGTTGAAATCGCTACGAAACCTAAGGTTCTGGAAGGATTTCGTCTTGCGCGCGCGAATGTCCACTTTACCTTATTTTTTGCAAGGGATTATTGAAATTTGATTATGTTAGAACAAGAAAAAGTAGCTCGCGCGAGCTCATGTAACATAAATGTTGAAAAACCATTGGTTTTGTGGGATTCGGACAGCGCGCGCGGAAGGACATTTTGACAATTTTTTCTTAAAAAACCATTGGGTTTTTGATGTTTTTATGTTAAAATCGCTACGAAACCTAAGGTTTTGGAAGGATTTCGTCTTGCGCGCACGAATGTCCACTTTACCTTATTTTTTGTAAGGGATTCTTGCAATTTGATCAAGTAAGAACAAGAATTTTCATTTTATAGTGTTTTTTGCAAGGGAAAACGGAGTACAACAAAACAACCGGATCCGGTAATAATTCACTTTTCTGAAGCTTTCGCTAAAAAATAATGAAAATGTAGCTGCGGCCTAGGTTTTGGAGGGGGGTCGCGCACCAGGGGCCCCAACAATAATTATTCTTTAGAAGTAATAATGTTCAACAACAACAACAACAACAACAACAACAACAACAACAACAACAACAACAACAACAACAACAACAACAACAACAACAACAACAACAACAACAACAACAACGACTGCAGCCGCGGCTTGGTGCAGCGGCGGAGCGAGGCCTGACAAGCTGCGCCAGCATCCGCTTCATGTGCTGCAGGTGCTCTCCGACCAGCCCGCCCGCGGGCGACGGGCGTTGTGCATGCCGTGGTCATTGTCGTCGTCGTGGTCGTTATGGTCGTCGTCGTCGTGGTGCCGCTGCGGTGCACGTCGCCGTCGAGTGAGGATCGAAGGCGTCGAGGATCGAGCTTCCTGAATCGCTTCACTGATCTTGGGGCCTGCAGAAGCCGCCGGAGGCCTCTGCATGGCGACCGCCAGAGGCCCAGACGTGGGGTGGCCTCTCCGGGGAACGCCCCCTGGTCGTCCTCGAGGTCGCGCCGCCGTCGTCAGCGAGGGCGTCGAGGCCTGAGCGGGCCCCGGGGAAAGGCCAGGGCACCTGCACTTGCCGCTTTCGCGGAAGTGTCTTCGGAGCATGACGAGCACAACAAAAAAAAAAAAAATCCTGGAGACGGGAAACAATTGCTCCAGGATTGGAGCAGGAGCCGGATCCCAGAAAAAACGGCGCCCGGCCCGGGGAAAAATAAGAATGGTGCCAGAGCTGGCAAAAAATCTGCAGATCGGAACCGGCAACAGAAACTGTCCTGTCCCTTCGCTTCTGGGGCACACTGAGGTCGAGGACTATGATGTGCCTCGCCCTCTCTGTCAGACATCCGAGGCGGCCCTCGCCGCCACTGCCGGACCCGCCACGGAGGCCTGGCCAGAACGCGAAGAAGAGGAAGAGGTCTCGGGGTCGACCAGGGTCGGTATCGTCGCTGTCGTGGTGACGGGGGTCGTCGCGTCGTCCAGGCTGGCGCTCTCCTCCGAGCCCAGCCGAGGAGGGCGGGGCCGAGGAGGGCGCGCGCCGAGGGCGTGTGCTTCTGCCGGGGCGCGCGCGGGCGAGGCGTCGGGGGCTCCCGCTCGGGAGCCGGCCCCTCGGGGGCCTCTCCCCCCACCGGGGCGCCACGGCGACCACCAGTTGTGCCGGCCCCCCGCCGTCTGAGCCCCGCGCGAGGAGCCGTGGCGACGCGTCGGAGCCCAGAGGACAGCGTCCTGGCCGTTCTTCCCGTCGTCTTCCTCGTCCTCGTCCTCGTCCTCGTCGTCGTCGTCCTCGTCCTCGTCCTCGTCGTCGCGCTCGTCCTCGTCTTCGTCCTCGTCGACGTCCTCGTCCTCGTCCTCGTCGTCGTCGACGTCATCCTCGTCGTCCTCGACGTTGTCGTCGTCCTCCTCCTCCTCCTTCTCCTCCTCCTCGCCCTTATCATCCTCCCTCTCCTAGGATGTTTTTTCCTCCCTGTCCTCGTCGTCATCGTCGTCGTCGTGTTCGTCGGCGTCGTGTTCGTCATCTTCGGCGTCGGCGTCGTCGTCGTTTTCGTCGTCGTCGTCGACCTTCTTCTTCTTCTTCTTCTCCTCCTCCTCACGACTCAGCCAACCGACCAACCATGGAGGAAGTGAGGGATCTTCGGCGGACGGCGTCGCGAAGCGCCGGCGATACCAAGGTGGCTCGCACCTCTGGCACTTGCCACGGGAGGGAGAGGGGGAGGGGGAGTCTGTGGGAAAGAGCATGGGGACGGAGGGAGGAGCGAAAGGGGAAGGCGAACAAGAGGGGGGAAGGCGGGCGGGCAAGGGAGAGAGGTATGAGGGGAGAAGGCGGCGAGGGACAGAGGGGCGAGGGGGGGGGGCACGAGAAGGGGCTGGAAGATGGGACTCGGAGGCGAGGGTGGAAGTGGTGGGGGAGGAGAAGAGAGCGCGACGGAAATGGGGGAGGGGAGGTGGAGGTGGAAGGGAAGCGGGGGGGAAACGGGGAGGCGGAGGGGGGCAGGAGGGGAAGGGAAGGGGGAGGTGGAGCGGGAATTGGGTGATATCCAACGCGCCATCGCACAACAACTGTACACTGTGATGAATCCACTCGTCGGTGGGGCCCTAGTTGACAACAGCTCGCATTCCGACTTCAAGCAAAAGGGAAGGGACAAGGATGACGACAAGGGCCGAGTGGGCAACGTGGTTTCCACTAAACTGCTGTCCCACGTTCTGGTGACATAATTTCCTGAAACCACCCACGTTGTAAATGGAAACAGCGAGAGAAGGGGAAGATGAGGATGAGGTGAAACCGTGTCACGAAGTTGGTTCATAAGTGAAGAACGTGTGCTGTCCCAGCCGCTTGGGCGATGTGCGGGCGTCGAAGCTGTGATGCAAGCTGGCGCAACCAGTATTATGCTTCGAGCGATCCCTACCGAAGCCTTCGGCGCTTGATCCCGACGGTGCTCGCGCCTATTGGAACAATGTGCGCGTGTGCCGGTGGTGTCGGCCAATGCGGCGGTCTGACCAGGTCGCAAAGGTCTCCTGAAATATCACGGCTCCGGAGTCTCTAACGAAAGAAACAGGAACACGCCCTGGGGCTACATTGTAATATCCAAACCGCGTGGTACAAAACCCCGAAACATGTCCTGAAAAAGCCAGTCGCAGTAAAAGGAGCAGTAGCAGCAGCAGTGGCATTAGCAGTAGCAGTAAGAGTAGCAGTAGTAGTAGCCGATGTAGGACTTGTAAGGTTAGTAGTAGTAGTAGTAGTAGTAGTAGTAGTAGTAGTAGTAGTAGTAGTAGTAGTAGTAGTAGTAGTAGTAGTAGTAGTGGTAGTAGTAGTAGTACGTAGTAGTAGAGTAGTAGTAGTAGTAGTAGTGATATAGTAGCAGTAGTAGTAGTCGATGCAGTACTTGTAAGGTGAGTGGTAGTAGTTAGTAGTAGTAGTTAGTAGTAGTAGTAGTAGCAGTAGTAGTAGCAGTTATTAGTAGTAGTAGCAGTAGTAGTAGTAGCCGTAGTAGTAGTAGTAGTAGTAGTAGTAGTAGTAGAAGAAGTAGCAGTAGTAGTAGTAGTAGTAGTAGTAGTAGTGGAAGTAGTCGTAGTAGTAGTAGTAGTAGAAGAAGAAGTAGTAGAGTAGTAATGGTAGTGGTAGTGGTAGTGGTAGTAGTGGTGGTAGTGGTAGTGGTAGTGGTGGTGGTGGTGGTGGTGGTAGTCGCAGTAGTAGTCGTAACAATAGTAGCACTCGTAATAGTAGTGATAGTGGCAGTAGTAGCACTAGCAGTAGGAGTAGTAATACGAAGAGTAATACTAGTAGTAGTGGCAGTAGTCGTTGTAGTAGGAGTAGGAGTAGGAGTAGGAGTAGTAGTAGCAGTAGTAGTAGTAGTAGTAGTAGTAGTAGTAGTAGTAGTAGTAGTAGTAAGGGTAAGAGTAAGAGTAAGAGTACGAGTAAGAGTAAGAGTAAGAGCAGTAGTGGAAGTAATGGCAGTCTGGCGTGACGCCGTAACGCCTGTCATGTGTGATACGTCGTCCAATTGATCGTTGCTCCGCCTGCTTGGTCCCGCGGCCAGCCTGACCTCGGCGCACACTTCGCGATAATGCAACACGGTGTGGTATGTCATGATGTCCCTCTTGAATTACGGATGGTGCTGGTCTAAAGTACGCGAATCTACTCTGTGGCACCGTGTTGGAATATGATACGTTCTCTCTGTTCATGATGTGCAATGCGTTCCTCAGTGGTGCTGTTTACGCGATGCTGGATTAGTTGCAATATGTGGTACCCTGCTCTGTTACGACAGAACTCTGCAATGAGGGTATCGCAGATGGTGTTATGTCAAGCTCATTGCCGTAGGGGTACCAATAGTCAGAGAGTTATGCCATGGTACGCTGGTTACGGTGTGCTCTGCCCTCTGTGCATTATTTATGCTATGCCATGTTCTCAGCCGCAAACCGGTAAAGTCTACACTGTTTGAATCCAGTCGATGCCGCCTTGGTAGCAATACTAACACACTTCCTGTACGCTCTGTTCTGATCTGCGGTGATATACCACACTAGGATCTGTTATGCAATGGCCTGCGTGTTGATTCAAGTTATGCTAAATGCTGCGCTCTGCAATGCTCTGTTCTATCAAGACATGAAATTTGAATATGCGTTGCGTCCTCCTGTGTTAAACTATTGTATGCCGAGGTCCGCCATGGTATGTTTTATCACGTTGGGAAATGCTGCGACTCAATATGATGGTATGATCTGATATGCCACTGGGTAAACGGTATGCTCAATTCTGCTACGCTATGGTATGGTGTGTTCTGTCCTGGTTCGTTATGGTGTGTGGTGTCATGTTATGCGCTGTATGCTCCGTGATGTCATTACACGCGTTGTTCTGGTGTGTCCTAACATGTCCTGATCACACATGCTGTGATACGCTACGCGTTGTCATGATATGATTGTGCGGTGTACTATGGTGTGCAATGATATAGTGTGGTATGCCACGCGCTGTCACGATATGACTTGTCAATGTATGTAATGATGTGTGCTGTGATGCTGTGCTACGGTGTTATCTGCTCTGCCATGGTATGCTGTGGCGTGATACGTTCTGTCATGGTGTGGAATGGTATGATGGGTTATTCCATGGTCGCTTATGAGGTGCGGTGTTATGCCTTTGTTCTCTGCGAGCCATTGTCATAACTCATCGTGGTATGCTATAGTACGGTCTGTTATGGTGTAACAGATGCTGCCACGATGTCCTGTGATGGGTGGCCATCTGTGTTGAGCTGGTATATGACATGTTATATGTGCTGTGAAGATATGATATGGTGTGGTGTGGTACACCATGGTATGTTATGATGTGTTATAGTCTGACATGATTCGTTATGGTATGCTCAGCTATGGTATGGTCCGTATGATCAGATATGGCATAGCGGGCGTTGTTACGCTGTGATGCTATGTGTTATGTTATGGAATGTCATGCAAGACCGTGGTATGTACAGTTCTGCGATGTGCTAGTATGATGTGCCTACTTTGCCGTGGTGTGCAATACTATGTGTTGTGATGCTGTGTAATGGTATGCGCTGCTGTGTCACGGTGCCATAGTATGTTATGCCATGATATAGTATGCCATGTCCGCATATGTTATGTTAGGCGGTGTGGTGCTATGCTCTGTTCTGTCAAAGTTGGTCGTGGTGCGCTATACTAGGTTCTGCTAGTTTGTACCACCGCTCTGTCACGTTATGATTTGTCGGCGCGAGGCGGGACACTCGGGGCAACTCGGGGGACCGGGG